CCAAACAATTTGTATTGAAAATTAAAATAGTAAGTATTACTGTACTTTAATATTAGTTAATATTAAATTAATAATTAAGATAATAATTTTTTTTTAGATAATATCTAATCTAACTACAATGTGTAGAATTAGTGAAAACTTCGTTTACATATAGATTAGATAGTATTTATTAATTCACTGTGATCTTAGCGTAGCAATCAAAGATTATTTTAGTTAGTCTATTAAATTTTTTTTTGTAAATATTTAGTTTATGATTTATATTAAAGAAAATAAAAAGATACAATTTAAATAAAGCAATAATTTTATATTATAATTTATTTGACAATTTATCGAAATACAAAAAAATTATTATAATAAAACTTTATATTGTTTATTTATCAATTTCTATATTTTTTTCAAAATAAGAAGTTGGAATTTTATGAATTAAAAAATAAACTTGGCGATTTTCATATTTTTGTATTTCTTTTACTGGTGATTGTTGAGTTTTTCCACCACCCATTGTAGTTTTACCAAAAAATAAACGAACCTATAAATTATATATAGTAGTTAATATTAGTTTAAATTATATAAATTAAATTATAATAAATAATTTACATGTTGATGATTTTTTTTTCCAAACTAGAAGTTGAAAAATATCATAATTTTAAACCTTCTAACTTTAAAGATTGTATAAAAGCTAGAATATGACATGCTAAAACATGCATATAAGGAGTTACATCTTGACATTGATAAATGCCTTCTTGTATAATTTCTCCAGTTGCTTTTTTTAAAGTAGGCTGACAAAATGTAGATACCCAATTTCGTACATCAATTTCAAATTTATCTATAATTGTATCTGCTAATTCATTTTTACTACGCATTAATTTATATAAACTAAAAAAATCTCGCTATAATTTTTCAATTATTTGACCATGTAATCCTGGTAAATAATTTGATACTGGAAATTTTTTTAATAATAGTTTTTTTGCTAGTCCCATTAGAGCAGTCCACTTGTATTTGCCTCCTACAGTTTCTGGATCGTAAAATCAAAAATTTACTTCAATAGATTTCATAGTATTTTCAATTTGACTAAGAATACTAATGTTTGCTGATTGCAGTTGTAATAACTTTGATTTTAACTTAGATTTACTTTTAAAATCAAAATTTGGATATTTTATTAATTCATAAAAAAATTCTTCAAGAAGAACATCAACAATACGTAGCATTAAATGTAATTTGTCAGGTATACAATGATTGGATTGTAAAAATAGTAACAAGCTTTGACGATCTTTAAGTTTTCCTAATTATACGTATTATTAAATATTAATATTTTTTAAATTATTTTTTAAACATATTACTATATTTACTATATGTACCTTGTGTATTTTGACTATTAATCCATATTTTATCTATATTCCATCATTCATTTTTGTGACAGTTACAATATAAACAAAAATGATGTGCCGTTGGACCATTAATCCCTAATACAAGTGCCATAAACTTCCAATCAGATGAAAACCACAAATCTACTTTCCAAAAATTTCTGCTATTATCATCAAATTCTTGATTAGCTAATAGTTTTAATTCATCTATAAAAATTTCAAAAGCTAATTGTAAAGATTCGAATTTTTCTACACCAGTATATAAGCATATACTATAATAAATATAATCTAAAATTAATACTTTATAAATAAAAGATTTAAATAATAAATAATTAAACAATTACTAGTGTTGTTTTGCAGGATCCAGTATACTATTTCCTTCATTTAAAATACAAACTGTGAATATTACATGATGATTTGATCTTTCAAATTCATGCCCATCTCCACCTAATTTTAATTTAATAGCATTATCACGAAATATAACTGGAGGTTCTTTATTAACAAGAGTAGGAATAATAATTGATAAAAGTGCAGTTAAAGATTGGTAAGCTCTATTTCCTACATCTGTTGATAATATTTCAATATTGTCAAGTGAATCTGAAGAATTATCTGGCAAACTTCTAGATATAAATGTCATATTAGGCTCAATTTGAAATGTTGTTATTGGTATTAAACTATCCATTATTTTGTTGATAAATTGTCATCGGTCTGCAATTAAATATTCACGTGTCATACTTGGCATTATAGCTGATAATTGACGATATCTATCTCGAGATACTAATGATTCATCACATGCACGAATAATTGAGTCCAATTCTTGATCAGTTATTTCTTTAGCTTTATTTAATATATATTGAAACTTTATATCTTGATTAAGAGCACGAATTGTAAAATGTTCTATATTTGCATCCTGAAAATTATGTTGCATGAATTGTTGTTTAATACTATTATGCACATCTTTGCCTAAACTTTTTAATCGCTTATTTCGTTGTGATTCAGATTTTAAATCGTTGTATTCTTTTTTCGAATATAGGACTGAGCTAATTTTGTTTGTGCATCAATACGTCTTTGATCTAAACAGTTTAGATCAAACCCAAAAAGAATAATACCAGAGAGTCTAGAATTTTTATTTCCACATAATTTCTATTAATACAAATTAATAATTATTTTTAATATTTATTAATTTGGTTTAAAAATTTAATAAAATATAAAATTAACCTCTAAAAAAAGTTGCGCTGCATGACTTGCAGATTGTTCACTTGCTACAGATTCTTCTTTATTTTTATTACTAACCCAACTAACGATGAATTTTACTTTTCCATTAAACTGATATTCAGTTAAACAAGTTGCTTCAACTCCACTAATATTTAAGTGAATCATATAATCGGTAAGAATAGAATAGCATACTCCATTTACAGTAGTTCTCTTTGTCATTTTAACATGACTTGGATAGTAGCCTAAGCGTAATACTTTGTAATGATATTCCTTTGATCTATTTGACTTAATACGTGTCACATATATATTGGGATATTCATCACAAATATTACAAAAACCATTGGTATAATTCGATACAGGTAAAGACTGAAGAGGTTGTCATTTGGTTTTAAATTGAGATTAGTTCTCTAAATATTTATTATTTTTATAAAAATCATTCATTAATAATGGTGAAGCGGAAGTAATATTAGAAATCGTTGAACCAAATTGAGTAGAAGTAACATTAGAAATCGTTGAGCTAAATTGAGCTATTTAACTAAATAGTAGAAAATAAGTTAACAAAACTAAACGTTTTAAAGCTATATTAAATAGAACTTGCTAGTATACTAGTATACCTAATTTTGGACAATGTTTGAACGATGTTTCGACGATGTTTTAACTTCAAACTTGTAAATGAAAAATATATTGGCATTTAAATTAGCCAATTGGATTTCCATAATATTATGAATATCATGTTACTATATTTGGTAACACGAATTTAAATTATCATATAATAAATCTGATTCGTAAGATTGGTTATGAAAATCATAACATGTGATTCGAAAACATCACCTAAATGAGTCAGATTAGCCCATATGAATTGAAAAAAATATTATATGCTAGCAATTCTTGAATGTGTGCCAGGTTGGTGGCGCATTACCCAGCCATAATTATCTCAGTGATTTCTTTTTCAACGAAATTTCAACCATGTGTTTCATCAACCGTCCTGTACTTTGAATGTTTTCCATATTTCTTTGTGAATTGAAGACATATTAGAAATATTATAATTTTTAAAATTTTAGTTCTTTCATTATAAAAAGGTACTATTATAAAGGGTACTTAATATGTAAGTAGAGTATATTAGTATAATTTCAGAAGCATGTAAGGTTAACAAAACTTATAAAATTTAGTTTTAAAAGTGAACCATCTTTAACATTAAGGAACACTAACTTACTATTATTCGTTTAAGACACGATTCAGCGCAGATTATGAGAAAACTTTTTTTTCATTTAAAGAATTTTTTTATAAATTATATTGTACGTGTTTATTTGAGATTTATTATCATACTTTTAAGCCAATACTTTTCTTATACACGTTCTAATCTGTAAAAATTTAAAATTATAATTTATAAACTATAAAAGTAAAAAATATGTGCATTTTTTGAATTCAAACAAATATTATTAGAAGCTAAAGATAATAAAAAAAATGAAGGGAAATGTGCTTTTACGAAAAAAGTGAAAGGAAACGTGCTCTTACATGATTCGAGAGAAATACCGTTAAAAAGTGGTGTTTTCGTTCTATTAAAATTTATAATTTTTTTATCGTTATCATAATTTTTTAATTGGAGCAAATTATTTGAACTGATTAACGCGCCACCAACCTGGCACACGTTCAAGAATTGCGCAAAATACTCTTTATACTCATATATAATAAGTATGATTATTAAATATACATATTAGTATAAAAATATAAAATTTTACTACGATACTTCTTTATATACCTATTACTCATTTTACTTAATTTAAGATATAATGATTATTTAGAACGGTCATTATGCCTAATATGCATACGCTTTATTTGTCAGTAAAAACGCTTTGATGTTAATTATGTAATATGTATTGTTTTAATTAAAATAACAGTTAATAAGATGTTACAAATAATTAAAAATAAATTTAATTTCATACTTAAATTTTTTGGTATATCTTCAGTAGGTACCGGATATAAAATATCACTAATATCAGACCATGAATATAAATCAATATAAACGCATATTTTTAAGCATACTCTTTTCTGTTAAATGGACAACTCTATCAAATTTAAGCCTGTTACAATAAGCTATTTTAATAATTTAATTTGTCTGATATAGAGACAAAGTTTGTCAAGTTGGAAAAATTAAACCATTTTCCGCCCTTATTGGGTTTTACTATAGAAAGCGAAATATTTGTCACAATATGAACAAGTACTTTAGGTAAAAGGTAATATGTGAGCATTCAGATATCAAATAAAAATGTCATTTTATTTGAGTGGTTCCTATTTACTTTTACCTTTTTACTTTCGCAGTTATATTATTGGTTGGTCTGCATACAAACCTTAATTTGATTGACCAAACAGATTTTTAACTATGCTCTTTATCCCGTAATTTTGTAAATTAGCTACCTCTTTTGCACTCTTATACCCTTAAAATCATATGATAAAACCGGATATAAATATAATACGAACATACCCGATTTCTATACCAATGATAAAAAATAAGGTTTTAGATAGTACTGAAATTTTATCATATAACAATAATATTATACAATAATTATTTGATCATCAAATTATATATTGCAGTTTCTTTTTAAGTTTTAGTTTGCACCTCACATTTTAGAGCTTGTGTTACATACTGTGTCATATAAAGATCATTTCTAGAGTATTGCTGCGATTTCCGTTAAATTTGCAGTTTTGCAGCGATATATAAACATTACTTTGAAAATGAAATCAGAAAAAATCAAACAAAAGATAAGCTAATTTTAAACAATAGATTGCATTCACCAATAAGTAAGTAGGACAAGAGCAGAATTCTGCGCAGATTCTGTACTGCAGAATTTTGGACACTCATCATTTCAATGTAATACATTAAATAATTTTAGAATTATGGTCGATGAACTTTGTTATAAAGGAAATAAATATAATGGAAAATGTGCAAATTGTGACAGATATAACACATCTACATCTTGGTGTCAAACATGTGACCCTCAGAAAACAATACAAGGATGAATGAGTGAAAATAAAGATGTCGACGATTGCATTAAAAAATTTTAACTCATTGCTACAGAATATGAGGATGTAATCGAATGGATTCTTTTTGACAGATTCGATAACATCTAAAAAAATAGTGACAAATTTTTAGCAACATGGTTAGATGGAATAAGATATTTGAAGAAAAATAATAAAGCCGAATATGAAAATAGATATATGCAGCTATGTCTACCAACATATAAAGTGGAGATCAAACCATTAACTAGACCACCAAATTTATTAGGTATTTTAAAAGAAGTAAATTAATATATTTAATATAATATTATACTGTACTAATACTAGCAAACTGCCCGTGCCTCCAGCACGGAGAACAAAAACTTGGTTGAAAGAATAAATATACATAATAAATCTTTAATGTGAATCCAGTCTAAATAGATATACAGTATGTTGTTTATGATGAGTTAGTTTATATTGAAATTATTATAAATTCTATTGTGAGTTTTGTTGTATAATTTACTTACCGTATACTGCTATATAAAGGACCCGGGTCTTTACACCCACTAATATTAAAACCTAATATAAGACTGCGGGTTTAGTATATGATGGAGAGTTTGTGCCGTTAGAAGTAAAAATTTAAAAAGTATGCATATTTTTCATTATAGTGAGCAGTCTAGATATTTAAAAAAAACTGCATTTTGTTATTGTAAATTTTGAGATACACATCCGCGTCTAGTATATAGGGTCTGATATCTAGGGGTGTCTTGTATACGGCAGTTTACAGTACTATTATAGTAATATATAGTTTGCATTGGATCATAATGATTTATATTATGAGTTATGATAAAAATTTTGTTAAAAACTTGTTATTATGTGACACGTAGTAAAGTTATTTTTTCTCCTTCTCAATTTAAATTATTAAAAAATAATTATATAAATTATTAAAAAATAAAATTTACTGTATTTATTTAAAAAATAAT